CCACTGAGCTAAATCCCCGGCCCCATATACTATATTTAATGAAACACACAAAACCCAAAATAATTGCTTAAAGACAGAGTAGAGTTAAAGGATGTCAATGACAAAAAGCATAATGTGTCCGTCTTTCCTTTCTTTTTCTCCCTCTCTCTTGAGACAGGGTCTCACTATGCAGTTCAGGCTGGCCTTGAACTCACCATACAGCACAGGCTGGCCTCAAACTCACAGCGATCCTCCTACCTCAGCCTCCCAAGTGCTGGGATTTCAGGTATGCACCACCATGCTAAGCATAACAATGTGTCTTTTGAGTGACGAAAATGTTCTAAAACTGATTGTGGTCATGGCTGCACAACACCTATGAATGTTTCAAAAACTATTTTTTAATTGAGTGAACTGTATTAATCTCACTAGTTTTTTAAAGCTTAATGTAAGACAACTATAGTATACAGCACATAACCTACAAAGAAAGAGGTATTTGTTTCACTCTTCCCCACGCAGAATGCAGCAAAGTTTAAGACCAAAGGTCACATATTGGGGGCTATGATAGAAATAATCAGTTTTTAGTATACACGAAGGCACTTTTATACTAGACATTATGTACATTATTTCATTTAAACTTCACAAAACTCCACGAATTACATATTATTCGCATTTTTCAGATGAGAAAATAGGGGTCAAGAAAGATTAAATAGCTTGTCCATGCAATTCTTTCACCTAACATAAGCACTCTGAATGAAACTCATGGGTGTCTGTCCAAAGTTTTAACTGCAGAAGGGTTACAGACAAAATGGATCATCTTCATTAGACAATAACTGGGATAATAAGAGGAGATGAAACCTTGTCACAGAATCTGAGTCAGGCATGTTTACTCTGAGGAAAAAGATTTGGGGATATGAAGCTGTTTTTAATCATATAAACAGCTTGTGAGGTTTAAAAAAGTAAATACTTTCCAGAAATCTCAAGAGTTTGCATTTGACTTACGGGGTGCTAATTATAGGGAGGAAAGACTGTTCCAGAAGCCAGGAACTCTTGAACAGGCTTTTGAAGATGGTGAGACTTTCCCACACCCCTGTCCCAGTGCTCCAGGTATTCATGCCCAGATCTTACAAGCCATTAGATGGGATGGTAGCTTAGCACTGCCAGATAAAATACAGGATGCCTAGCTAAATTTAAACTTCAGAAGCCAATAAATTGTTTTCAGTCAAGTATTACTAAACATCGCATGGGACGAGGCATTTGTACTGTAATAAGGAGGAGCAAACAAAGTCAAGCCTCAAATTTTTTTATTAACTCATTTTTATTCTGATAAAGTGAATCATTTTTCTTAAAAAAGCATCTGATCCCTCTTGGAAAACTCTGTAAAACACTCTATTTAAATACAAAATCATAGTGCTTATACCCATATCTTCTTTTTTATAGCAAAACATTTATTGGTATGTTTTAGGTATACATACTGATAACACTCCTCGTAGGGAATTTGCACCTGTACATAACACATCCCGCCTCAATATTGCATGGGACATACTTACGGTGCTGAAAAATTATGTTGTTCATCTGAAATTAAAATTCAACTGAGCCTTCAAAGTTTTTATTAATTTTATATCTGACAACTCCAGATGCTAACAAAGTGATTTCGAAAATTCATGTGAAGCCTGAGGGAGCCAGTTAAGAGGCTGCTGTAAGTGATGAGATCTGGAGTTGATAGGAGGCCAAGGAAATAGACCACAAGGTGCAGAACTATGGCCATTTGAAGACAAAATCCACAAATCTGTATGGTCACTGGGGAAGGGCAAGAACGACCATAGGGCGGGGTAGGAGGACAAAGGCTGGAATCAGAGCCTGTGGATGAGAGAAAGGCAGAAAGGGCCAAGTTCCCAAGAGGATCTAGTTAGGTACTCCAAGCCTTCAAACACAGAAACGATCTTTTAACTCACATTTTTCGCACACCATCCTCCTACCGACGGTCCTCTCAAGAGCAGATGCTCCAGCAGCTTGAAAACATCAACACACCAGGCGAAGGTTCCCCTTCCGGCTACGTCAGCCCACTTCCGGTCTGAGTCTTCCGCTCCCGCCTAGCTCACACCTGGAAAGCCCGGAGGAATGAACTAGCTGGGGATGGTAGGCCGGGCTGCTTCATGGGGCCGCCCCTTCCCTTCTGCGATTGGCTGTGCCGCCGTGGGTTCCCCCACCAGGACATGCACTTGCGCAAAGGCCAAGGCCTCCCGTCGCACCTGATGGTGGGAGGTAGCAGCCCCTCCTTCTCTTCAACGGGCGGGAGAGTTAGGTAAGCCCCGCTGGGAACCCCCGGCACGCTGGGCTCGCCTCGGGAGGGTGCACGCCAGGGAGCGCAAGCCTCCGCGCCCCGGCTGGTCCGCGTCCCCTGGCCGCCGGAGCGCTACCCCTCGGGCGTGATCCCGGGGCTCCCCTGAAGACCTGAGTTTCGCTCTCGGACCTGCAGTTTCCCTCAACACCTGTGCTCTTCGGTGGTGCCCCTCCGCCGGTTCCTCGCCGCCCGCCCCCGAGCCCCAGGCTGGGGCGGGATCCTGAGCGTCCCCGAGTGGGTCTGGAGTCGGCAGCCCCACGAAGACGTCTTCCCGCTCCGGACCCTGTGGACCTGGGCCAGGTCCGGGGGGCAGCGGCTTCGCGGTGACAGCCGCACCCGGGGCAGCTCCGGATCTGACAGTACCGGCGCGCACTTCACCTGCTACCTGCAGCGAGCCTTTGAGTTTGGGTGCTGCTCACTGTGTGAGGTCCCTGTCTGCTGCCAGCACCTGGGATTCTCTCTCGAGAGTGGATTCCGGACCCCTGTACCCCACCTTGAATGGGGAGTGGAGAATTTTTGAGAAACTTTCCCTTCGACCCTTCTTTCCATCCATGCTCTTCCTGACCCCCGGGGTCTATCATCGTATTAAAGAGGCTAGACTTTGAAACGACTTTAGCGCGTGGGGCTTTGGATGTGTCTAACTTGTTAATCCTGTTCCCCTATCGGTAAAATATTTGCCTTTGAAAAGTGAATTAAACGAAGGCTATTGGGACAACGCGCATGTTCACCCTTTCTTCTTTCACTCTAGTGCCCTCCTCCCCCAATTCTGTGTGTGTGTGTGTACTGTATTATATTTTTCCAAGGTGTTTGTGTATTCTGGAGTTTTCACCACAGTGTAACATACTGTTTCTTTAATGAAGTCATTACTTAGCATTAGTGAATACGATGTATGAGCTCTCAGGTAATTTGAATACAGAACATGTACTTTAGAGACAGTTACTCCCCCTTCCAGTCGTGTTCTTTTAATTGGAATTTAGCACCTGTAACAGATGTTGTCATTTTGGTATTTCTGAAACATTGGAAACTCTTAGTTTAGCATAATGTCTATCGAACTCTCCATTGCCCTGACCACCATTTGATTATTAAGTGTGTACTTGGTGTTACTTGTCATTTTGTGGAGAATGTGAACTGTGGTGTTAGGAATAAAAAACCAACAATTTAGCCAAAGTGTATTCACAGGTATCTAGAATGCATAGGTTATATTTCTAACTGGGCAGACCATTTAATCCATGCATTTGATTTCCATTCTATGATTTTGACCAAAAAAACCCTAAACTGCTTAATTATTCCTAATGCATGACCCCTTTGCAGAAACTAATGACAAATATTTAAGAAATTAGTAACTTTTTCCTGTTTAGATCCTGAGAGATATTTGTACCATACTAACATAAAAGGATGTTTTAAAACATACATTTCCTATAGAAAATGGACTTTAGTTCATTGCTTATTTTTAGAAATATAAGTAATTAGGACAATGGGAAGGTCATTTTTATGTGTTTTTCTTTTCTTTGTTTTTCTTTAGACAGCCACAAAAACACCATGAAAGATACTGATATCAAGACACTACTATATGCTCATTTTCTATGCATATTTTCAGTTATTCTAAGTGTCCTTATTCCATCATTCTTCATGGAGGATTTTTCAATATTGGACACACACTTGACGTGGTTGTGCTTCTGTTCTCTCTTTGTAACTTCAATCAATCTTGTATTATATTTAGTACCAAAGCCAAATGCATCCTCTAAAAGAAGTTCATTATCACATAAGGTAAGGATTACTTCTTATTAACCGATTTTTGGTGGAGATAATGTTTCTTTTAATGGAAGAATAGGTATTAGTCAAGTCCTCAGGTTATTTATAGCTTGTAAAGGGTACGTGATTTTTTTTTCAAATCAGTCGCTTGTTATTTGCTGTCAAGGGGCCCGCAGTGTTTGATAAATTCTTGCCATGCATTAATTCTGAAATTATGACTTCTTCCATGGATATTATAGTAATGTAAGTCTGTAAAATTATTGTTTTATGTCATCATTGAAGATAAATACACGTGGCCATCTATCTTTAAACCTTACTTTGGAAGACATTGCAGTTTATTTTCACTTAATTTTGTGCTTCCAAAAGAGTGAGTTTTTCAGAAATTGCAAAATAAGTCACTGTGGTAACCTATTTTAAACATGGCCTTCCTTGACTAAACAATTAGAAGTTTTCAGGTAGCCAGGGGTTTAGCTCAGTGATTACGCTGCCTGCCTTGCAAGCCCAAGGACCAGAATTCGATTACTGGTACAAAAAAAAAAAAGTTTTCAGGTATTAGAATCAGTTTTATGGAATATTCATTGTACTATAATACTTAACATTACTTTAAATTAAAAAGTCCTCACATTCCATACTGTGTATAAGCTCTCTCCTACTGCCTTGTGCTTTAAAAAGCTTAATATGTGTTGTATAATTTTATCTTAAGACTCAAATCTAGTAAGTCCCACACATGAGCCTATTAGTAGATGATCAGGTCTTTTTTTCATATGGTTCACATAGTAATGTGAATGTGATTTGGAAAATTATTGAATATTTTGCTTTTTCAGTGCAGTTTTCCCATGAGTTTTGTTTTAAAATGAAAAAAAAATATCCATTATTTCTGCAGACATTTCATGTATAATAATACATAAGACTTTTTTGTATCTTAATATTCTATTAGCAATAAAAATTTCATGAATATTAACAAAATAACTCAATACATATCATAGAAGCAGAAATCTTTTTTTCATTCTCAGGTTTGTTGGGTCAGTAGGATATAGGTGTATTCTACTGCCTTTTAGGCTTTTTCACAGATACAGTGACAGCTATGTGTGACTGACTGGGCATAAGCCTTGTGATCTGACTTGAGGCTTCCCAACAAAGAACAGTCAGCTGTTTCACACATATGGGAACAGGTTGTATTTATACATAAAATGGAAGAATGTATTGTCCTTTAGGCATTCTCTTCAGTCTTTAATGATTTCTCTTTCAGGTAACCAGATTTTTGAAATGCTGTGTCTACTTTTTTGTGTCTTGTTTCTTCTTTCATGTGATTTTTGTTTTATATGGAGCACCACTAATTGAGTAAGTTTGAAATTTTTACTTTAAATTTGTATTTTAAAACACTCATTTGCTAAACAGTGTGCTAACTCTGTTGGTAATTAGGGGGAAACTGCTGGGTTTAATTAATGGGTCAAGACAGGATAGCAGTATCATCACTCTTCTTTAGCACTGTTATCCTTTTAAAGAACAGTAGAATAACATAATTCATTAAATGCTTCTACTACCTAGCCTTCTGCTATCCAGCTGTATGTTAGGAGGAGGAAAGGAAGATGAGAAACTATTTTGTATTACTAAGTGTATGGCTTTAGAACCTCTGAGGGAACTTGCTATCATTATATATATATATATATATATATATATATATATATATAAGTTGGTTATAATTAGCATAACAATTCTTCATAACTGTGATTCTGAAGTAAATGTGATCCTAAGGAAACTCAATAGACCCCTATATTCAAGTAATTAATAAAGATACTTATAGGTAAAATGTAACTCAATACTTTTTCAAAACTGACCAATTTCAAATTAGTGGAGACTAAATCCACGAGTATTTCTTATAAAAATGTTTATTATAGTTTGGGAAACTATTATAGTTTAGCAGTTATTAATAATCATGGTAAAATGAATGAAATATATATATATACATATATATAGTTATGTATACAGTTATGTATGTGTATTTATTGTTGTAGATACATATATTAAACCAACAGGTTACTCTTTTCAGGGAGGACAAGACTTTCGTTGGAAACAGTAGTTTCTGTCTAATGCATATTAGAGTAGAATAAATGGAAGAACAAAAGTTCTCGGCATTAACTTTATTTATTTAGACAGGGTCTCACTGTGTTACCTTGGCTAACTTAAGGTCCTGTGCCTCAGCTTTCTGAATAACTGGGATTATAAGCATGTGGCACTGCCCTGGTAGCATCAACATTTTATCAGATGCAAATTCTCAGGCCTCAATCAGAAATTCTAGGAGGGCCGGGGATTTAGCTCAGTGGTGATGCCTCCTGCCTCGCAAGTGCAAGGACTCAAGTTCAATCCCCGGTACCAAAAAAAAAAAAAAGAAAGAAATTCTAGGGGAGGAGCCTTCCAATCTTTTGTTTAGGTTCTCCAGGTAGTTCCAAAATCAGTTAAAAGTTAAACCACTGGCTATAGAGAAAGTTCCAGAAACTGTTTTTAAAAAGCTAGTCAGGTAGAAATTAGTTTTCTTGAAATGGAAGTCTTAGTATGGACCTTAGGCTTTTTAACATTTCTGAAATCGATCATTAAAGGCAGATACTTTCTAGATTGATTTTTAAAACTTGTATTTCAGTAGTAAAATTATTTATAGTCATCATTTTTGTGTGATGCATATCGTCTTTCAAAGTAAAGAAAATATTTTTAGGGCCAGGGATTTAGCTCAGTGGTGTCACTGCCTGCCTTGCAAGCGCAAGGTCCCGAGTTCGATCCCCGGTACCAAAAAAGAAAAGAAAATATTTTTATATTAAAGTATGTGTGTGTGAACCTGTAACATGTTTTTAAAAATTAATAAAGTTTTTTCTTTCTAGGTTGGTGTTGGAAACATTTTTATTTGCAGTTATTTTGTCTACTTTTACTACTGTACCTTGTTTATGTTTGTTAGGACCAAATCTCAAAGCATGGCTAAGAGTTTTCAGTAAAAATGGGTAAGTTTTAATTTTATATTTTAATGATATTAGTCATTTGTATGGTTCTCACACAAGTCAAAAGGAGCCAGTGTATTTGATGAATGGGGGCAAGGAATGGATAGTTTGAGAGGGACCTAAGCAGGCAGAAGTACAGGGCCCCTCCCTCCATGTTTGCAGGATCAGCTCTGCTTTCTTTCTGTGTGATAGAATTCAACTTAGCCTTTTGTTTGAAAAAGAAAAAAAGTTTCTGTTACCAAAGTAAAGCTTTGAAAAACTACTGGGGTAATTTGGTAGCGTGATAAAGTGCTACAAATGGAATTGCTTACATCCATTTCATAATGTAGAAATGGCATCCATAATCTACAAATGTTTTGTACAACAACAATATTTCTTGTTTAACCTTTTTCATGATAAGATATTACAGTACAAATTTTACTGGATTTCATTTCCTTAGCAGCTATATATTTTCAACGTAGATAAGTTAAAATTTTAGCTTCTTCAGAGGCTTTGCAGTGATATATACCAGAAATGGTTGAGTTCTAACTAAGAAAACCAGAAATTCTAACTAAGAAAATAATTTGGTGCTTATAATGTTGTCCTGTTCATCACCAAGCAGTAAAAACTTCTTGAGCACTTACTCTGTGCTTTGTGTTATGCTAAGCTCTATGTGTATTCGAAAATATTAGAAGATTTTTTTCCCTGAAGAGCTTGTATGTTCAAGGAATAAAAAGAGAATGAACGAACAGAATGATATTAAATTGTAGGAATCCAGGGGATTTAGCTCAGTGGTTTCGCTGCCTGCCTCTCAAGTGCAAGGTCCCGAGTTCGATCTCCGGTACGAAAAGAAAATTGTAGGAATCCAACAATCTGTGCTGTAGGAACCGAGAGGAGTAGGGGATCAGTGAAGAATAGAACTAGAGAAGGAATGATCTATGATAGACTTGGAGCAGAAAAATGAATGAAATGAATGTGCTGGAAATGAATGAAATCATAGAAACTTATATGAACTTGCTATTTTTGTGGGATTTGGAAGGAAACAAGTAGCCCGAGGAGAGTCGAGGATGCATGTTGGATCACATGGCTCCAAAAATTACTGACTTTTTCCTGTATCCTGCTTACTCCAGCGGCTGAGGCAGTAGGATCACCAGTTTGAAGCCAGACTGGTTAACTTAGCAAGACCTATCTCAAAATAAAAAGGGTTGGGGGTGTAAATCACTGGTAGGATGTTTGTTAGCATTCATGAGGTCTTGAGTTCAACCCCAGCACCACAGACAAAAAAAGAAAGCACAAGTTTACACATTATTTTGGTTAAAACATATAAATAGTACATTAAGTATGACTTTTCCCATTAAAAGTCTTTTTGTATCGTTCTCTTAGTCTCCATTGCATTGATTTCTCCTCTGATCTTTATAATTTC